GTACTTTTCATTAATTTATGCCCAACCTTAGAACTATAATTTATTTTAGTACTGATAATTCTCAGGCTTCATGACTATAATTCATAGTCGTAGGAATTTCTCCAAGATCTGTCATAAAAGATCCCTCTCTGATTCTAAAGTGAAGAAAATAAAGTCTTACACTCAGGCAAAAAAGACAACATCCACTACTACTCAGACCATCATACCTTGTTGGTGCAGTTATCCTAAGTTGAAAGCATTAAAGAAAGAGGAAGATGATATAAGATGAGCTTCTTAACAGAGCTTTATACAGAATTTCCATGTTAGCTTGGATACTATTTTATTTTCTTGAGAAGTCCAATGACTAAGAGTAGTTTTCATTTTAAAAAAATACCTAAAAAGCACTTCAGTATACTCAAGCTGTCCAAGCTGCTGAGAACTCACTTTTAAAAGGAACAGCAATAATTTACTTGTTTTTAATTAAATAGTAGTTGAGTATAAATATAAAATACAAAGTACTTTTTTAAACCGCCAACATTATGTTTGGATCGACATATGCTTACTCAACTCGACACATTATTAAGTCTTGCCATTGCAAACAAAGCCAGTGATAATCAAATTATTACACTGGTATTTCTAAAATTTTTAAAAACAAAATTGAAGTTATCTAAAATTATTCTTTCAAATAAAAATAGAATTACTGCTCTGCAGAACTAAAAGCTTCTACGTGAGCATCTTCTACACAAACGCAGGTTTCTTTCGCAAGGCTTCTTCACAGCTAAATAAACTAATGCTTCGATCTATCAACAAATAAAGTTTCTACCAGCCTGCATGACACTCACACAACACTACCAACCCTATTCATCTATCAAAATACACACAAGCTAATTTGGCTGAGAATGCTAGGCCAAGAACAGTGAACGATTCTGCTGTACTCCATGGATTTTGCTGTGTCAGTTTTACTAGCTACGGAAAGGTTGTTGCAGGTACATAAGTGCTGTACTTACCACTTCGGCCAATGCTGAAATAACTTTGCCCAGAGTTGTGAGAGACTTGTTTATATTTGCTCCTTCCTGAGAAAACAGAATCCAGCATTATATAGTAATTAAAATTGTTCAACCATGAACTTCTGTAGACTAAACGAGCCAAATGTGACACTCATGATCAGAGAGGAAAAGAGAAAAAGTCTTCAGTTTTGCAACTACCTTTTCCACACTGACAATAGCAATCCTTTCTTTTCCTTATTATCTGTCAAGCAAAGACTCCACATGATGCTTGTGCACCCACTTCCCTTTCTTTCCATGTACATCAATGGCCCCATACCTTCAATCGGGTTCCTTTGGCACCAGTTGAATCAGCTCGCTCACTCCCAGCTAGATCCACAAGGCTAATCTTGCTGACCTGAAGAGAGAAAGCTCATTAACAATAAGAATTAATTCTTGGTGAACTAGAGTAAGAACAAGACTTCAAAGAATTCCATGGCATTAAGAACTATACCGTCTTAAAAAAAGAAAAAAACACTGTAGTGTGCTCAGAACTACAGTCAAAGTTTTCACAAGCAATTAACTTGATGCTGTTATCTTATGGGTAAGAAGTATCTGGCATTACAGTCTGTTTTAAGCATCACTACCTAAAAAGAGAGAAGGAGGTCTCACATGAACAGAGCAGAACCAAAGTCAAAAGAAATTAAGTGTAACTGCTACAGACAATGCAAGAATCTCAAAGGAAAAGATATTTAATGTTTCATCTTGACTCTAGTGACACCAACAATAAAGCCTTGCCCTAACTAAAGCTACAGACTGCATGTCAGTTAATGATGATTTCACAGGGTCTTATCATTTGAGGGGGTCTTCAACACAAATTTTTCCAGATCTGTCCACAGCAGTCAGTTCAGAAATGTGAACATTACCTGTATTTCAGGTACTTTTGCATGCAGAGACTCTATTTCAGAGTAATAAAAGCCAGAAAACTGTTCTATGCTCCTTTTAACATGCAAATTCCAGAAAGTGCCTAAGTCTCACTTATCCCCATTCCTGTGCCCAAAGAAAAGAACTAACGAGGCAAGTATTTTGCACTGACAAGCAAAACCACAGACAGTTCTGGGAACAAGACTGAGGAAGATTAACTTTTTTTTTTCCCCACATATTCCCTCCCCATAGAACCTAGTCCTTAAGGCCACATTTTTCCCACATCTATAGATTCTCATCCTTCAAATACTCCCCATTTAGTTGTTGTCAGAATTAAAATCAAACAAAATCCTGTAAGAAATAAAAGGGCTCTGTCAAGGCACACAGCAAGTTCACTCTTAAACAAAACATCAGAAAAAAAACGATTAATCCTCATTTTCTCATCACACTGCCAGTAAGAATAAGTCACTGCAAGGAAGATTCATGAAAAACAGCCACTGATCTGTAACGTACCTTCTCTGTGGAAAGATCAGTTTCTGTGTCATGTTTCTTCTGAGTAAAGACAATCGTAAACACAGCATGAGAGCGGCTGCTGGTTTCATTCATGTTGGTAGCTGCCACAGTCCTAAAACAGATACAGACACCTTTAGAAAGCAGTAGCCTCTGTGCTGCAAGTACAACTGCCTGCAGGGCCAAATGCAGCTGTAGAGGAAGGAAACCAAGAGGCTGTATAGCTAATGTCCTGCCCTGTAACCAAGACCAAGCCACAACGAATACCATGACCAAACCCTCTGACTTTTCACTCCCAAATTACTCCCATCTTCACAGTTTAAACAGAGCTTCCTCAATCTGTGTGCTCAATAACCTACCTTACACTCAAACACCCAAGAAAAAGTGAGCAGCATTTATGTCAGTCTTTCCCCCAGTTAAATGGAGCCTACAGCTGACATGCAAACAACTGTTAATGAACCAGGACTTCATCTCCAGCCGTTACAAGCTTTAAATACCTATACAGTGATTTGCAGAACTATTTCACCACACAAATCAATTTCAGCCTTTTAATAGCATTAATCAGTGCATATTTCAACAATACTCCTCACGTAATGTAAGTTTTTGAAAAAGTGCTAGCACATCACAGAAGATATTTTAAAGTTGCTGCTATATGCCATACATCCCCTCCATGGAGAAAAAAAAAACGTAAGATGGTACCATCACTTACCTGGCTTTGTTGCCAGCATCCATGAGGTCTGCAATGTCTGTGTAAGATGTGACTGCTAATTTGGACAGATCTTCCACATATGGTCCAAGCAGAGGATGTTCTCGCACCCGTAAATTCCCTTTGTTCTTCGGGTTCAACAAGTCTCTGACTCTCTCACAGTAAATCTCCATGTAACTCACCTAAAAACAGGAATTTGCATGGTCAATTTAGTGTTTCTTAAGGCTTCCTCTGCAAGCAGCTCTGCAGCATTTCAGAGTGCTACTGGTAGGAACTCCCCACATCCACTACAGGAAAGCTGTAGGTGGGTGTCAGTTCATTTAACAGCTTGAGACAATAGCAGAAGGGAAGAGGAGTCACTAGTCTCAAGCATCAGATCTCCAACATAAGCTGCAGGCCTTGCATCCATGTATAGAACCCTCAATCATTTCAAAAAACATTGGTGTTTAATTAAAAATTATGCATTTGAGTTCACAACCATCTTAACACCTTTTATAAGACACAGCAGCCCAACTGTCTTTCTAAAGCCGCTAACAAGACAATCTGCTCACAAGGAATCTCCAAAGCAAACTGAGGAAGTGAAAAAAAAATTAATTTCTTTGTATGCAGAAGCACCTTTTGATTCTAAGTTATAGGCACATCCTATTGTATTCCTGAGTTATCAATACAATTATTCAAACTACGGTAATCTTAAATCTGCACCCTTTGAAATAAATTATAACACTAAGATTATTTTTAAATGCATTCTTTAATTTTTGTTTCCCAGGGCACTAGGCTTATCAGAGTCCAAGAGGTACTTAGCAGCTGCAGCAGTCAAGATATTAAGTATCAAAAGAGACTATAAATTATTTACTTTCATTCTGTGGAAATATTACAGATGTGAGCAGTAGTTTTAGAAATTTAGAGATTGAAGATCTCTTTGTATTAAGTCCGATTCAGAAAACTGAATTGTATATCCAAAACAAATCACAATATACTATTTATAGACTTTCATCACTATTTCTGTCTAGCTGTCTCCCTGCTCTGATTATTTGTCAGACACTCATTCTTTTGGATTTCCATTATAAGAGACTATTTCTCTCTCTCACACGCACAAATCTATGCTTGGAGACATGATCAGAATCATGAACAAGTACCAAATAGAAAAAACTTCATGAAAACGTGGGATACTTCTCATTCACAAATCCTAAACGTGATAATCTTATGATATTCAAGCATTAAGTCATCAAATGTTAATAAAATACAACTAAATGAAGTGTTAAAACATACAGATTCAAAGCCACAGAACCAGTCATTTTCCAGTTCTGTAATTTAGAAGCAGTAATTACTGGAGTTCATATTTAGTAATAATAATCATATTTGACTTCTACCAGCTTTCTGGTCTTCCTTTCTTTTGAAGCCTGCAACTTATTTTCATCTCAAGCCACTAAAACTGATTGGGGAAAAAAAACCAAACAAAACCAAAACAACAAAAAATAAAACCAAAACCAAACCAACCAGTAAAAGAAAGAAAATACTGTTTCTGCAAAGCGGTTGCTTGCTTCTTTTTTTCATTTTGGAGCAGAGCAGGGAGATAAGACAGAAAAAGAAACAGCGTAGTATGATGCCATATGAAAACCATTTTCTAAACACAAACCAACCTAGGTAAGGACAGGAATTAAGAAAAATTAAGTAGCGACAAATTTCTTATGTACGCACGGGTTAAACAATTTTTTCTGTAGAACAGCCTTACTAAGAGATGTCAGGAAAGACTTGGTGACTAAGCTATTCTAGACAAGC